TTTTTTGTTGTTATATACCTGGATGACTGAGAAAACAAACTTTGTATTGTTAAGTAATCTACACTTTCTGATGACCTGCTGCGATCAAAGTAACATGTCAGTTGTATTTCATTTATGCTTTTATTTATGTGTGAGGTTTGAGGATGCTTTAATTAAAACCCTCTGTCACTGAATTATTTTTAACCATCACATAAAAATTTAAATGCTGTAAATAATTTTTGTGGATTGGAAAAGTGAAGGAATCTTTATGTTAGATTCTGAGTAAGATAGATAGATGATGTAAAAGTTTGAGTTTGTACATTGAGTTCTGCAGACTGTATTATTACTTTTTTTTTCTTGCTTCTCTACGGTGGAACCAGACGTGTTTCTCCCCCCCCCCCCACCCGCTTCCCTGCTGCGCTCTTTTGTCCTGTGAACCTTAAAAAGCCTCTTTTTTTCCTGCATACCTCTTAATTTGAAGGATCAGCTGGTCTCTCAACAAAATCAATCAACTTCTCCCGTCAGGAGTCAGGGTAAGGAGGACCCTCTGAACTCTTTAAGGAACAAATTGGATTCATGATGACGACTAGAATCTACTGTTTGGGTTGGTGGAATCTGGTTGTCTACAAATTCGTGTGGAGGTGTTGAAGCTCGACAGTGCTCGGACTGAATGTGGAGCTGTGACAGGGAATTGGAGCAGCTGTTATCAGGACTGTGATCTCCCTGGCAGCACTCATGAATGGTGAGAATAATCTGGAGAAGCTGTGAGCTCGACTTTGGAGTTAAGGATCAATTCGTCTGTTTTGGAGTTCCATCAGAGAATATGTACAGCGAGACTTTAAAGGCAGAAACAACAATTCACGAGTTCTGTCTGACCCAAACTGTGGCCTTGATGCCGGACTTATCTCAACTCCTCCTGGAATGTTTTAAACCAACAAAGATGCTTTGACCGTTTCCTCACCCCTCCCTCCCCCAAGGCCGTGGACATGTAACAGAACCTCAACTGAGCTGAAGATGAACGTCACCTCTTATCTGGACAATGGCTGAGGGGGGCTCTGGACTATGCTACGACTTTCCCTTAAAAATTCAATGTTTTCACCGCCTATATGTTCATGTATAACATCTGTTTATGTTGCTTTGCTGTGGAGGTTTGTTTGATGCTTCAAATCGTGCCCTGTCTAGGACACGGAGTGAGAGATCTTTTTTTTTATACCGTCTCTCCTCATGTTTTCTTTCCTTTTCTTATCTAAGCAAAATATTATTCTGAATAAGAATAAGAGGCCGAGCTGATTATTTTAGCCGCAGCTTCGTGCACTCCGCCCATCTTCGGACGACTGTACGTACATATTCGCGTTGTATCTCGGTGCAATGCCAATAAAGTTTATTCTGATTCTGATTAGTCTTGATTGCTGAGATATAAACAATTATGACAGTAGTAATAAATGCAGATTAATCCAAGTTTAAGAAAAAAAAAATCTTCAAACTCGTGTAAATATCATTTACACTTGAAATATTCACCCTAAATATCTCATTGAAGTCGGGATGGAAATTCAGCAATAAATAAATGTGTTTCAGCTCATGCCAACAGTCTGCTACTGGGCTTTATCATTAACAAACTTGCATTAAGTCCTGCAGTTTTTTTTCACCTCACACAACGTACAGGCCCTGCCAGGTAGCCACTATGATTAGTCAGTAGATTTAACGTTAGCAAAAATATGTCTCATTTTACATTTATAACATGACAGATTATCACACATTTAGGTTCACATATTTTGCAAAGAGAGCATGATACTTGTTACAGCTGTGGACGAGTTCGATGCTACAGCGGGTGTTTTCTCTTCAGACGCTGCAACATCGACGACGTGCTGTTGTGGTTACTCCAGTTCTGCTTTGCAGTGGAAGCATTTCACTGTGTTGTCTTTTCTGTTTAGCCTAACATGTTCCCAAACTTTTGGTAGTTTTTGTTGTTTTCGGGGCTCTTCTTCTACGCAGTCTCTCTTAGCTACAAACTTAGCACATACGTGTTAGCGGAAGTGCTAGCGGAAGCGCTAGTGTTGTGTAACACAAAAATCTTACGGCTAGACCACAGTGCTCTGAATAGTTTAACGAAGCTTCGAGGCAGATAAATTTGCCTCGAGGATTTTTCGTAATCGAGGTCCTCGAATGATTCGAGGAATCGTTTCATTCTTATCTTATCTTGTCCTTATCTTATCTCATCTTATCTTGTCTTTATCTTGTCCCTATCTTGTCCTTATCTTATCTTGTCTTGTCTTATCTTACCTGTCTCGGTCTTTTATAATTAAACCATTCCTATTTTTAACAAGCCTAACCTGCTGCACATTCTTTCCAGCCTGATCCCTCTGTCTCGCTATTCAGTATAAGTAGAACAACAGAATTCCATTTAATTCAGAGAGCTTCTTTAATTTGTTTTATTTTTTTTGCAGGTCACTTAAGCAACATGTTCATTGCTGTCCTGTCAAACGGGATTGGAGTAGAAGCCCAGGCACCAGCACACCTGACCAGGATCCCCATTGGTCTAATCAACACCACCGCAGACTGCACCAATAGAACAGTCGAGGTTTGTGTCTAAGTTTTAGAATCAGACTAATAAAACAACATTTTAGGACCATTTGGTCCAAATTATGTCCAGAACAGAACCAGACCAGATTTAATGCAGTGATGTCCAAAACAGAACCAGACCTGCTGCACTTCTTGACATTTTTAAGATGTAATTGCCATAAAATTTTCAAAATTTTTTTCTGAAACAACATGGCAAAACTTCTTTGATTTAATCCAAAAAAGTTCAGTCTGGTCCTCTGGACTCTTTGGATTCTTAGATTTAACATTTGATATGTTTATTATGTTACATTGTGTGTAAAAATGAAATTATTTAACCTTAAATGCATTTGTTTACATTATTCAAACTGTCACATTTTTAGAATTATGGTTGTTGATAGAAATAGAAGAAACTCTTGTCTTCTTGTTAGAACAATAAAAATAATGTTCATATGCACAGAAATCCAATCATTATAAATTTATAATCTCAAGTATTTTCACATTAAAAAAAGCTGTAATGATTTTATTTCTTCAGCATATTTTTGATAAATAACATTGAAGTTCAGTCTGCGTTAAAATCAAAAGCATGTGCAGGTAATTGTCAGAAATATTTTGAAAATAACAAACGTTAAAAACATGTCAAACAAACAAAAAAGCCCTGACAGAAATACAAACGACCACGTCGAAAAACAAACACGTCGAACAAACATGTCAAACAAACGTAACACGTCGAACAAACCAACACGTCGAACAAACCAACATGTCGAACACGTGACCATATTGAACAAACAAGTCGAACAAACAAACACATGGAACAAAAATGTAGGGCTGGGTACCTTTCTAAAAAAAATTGGTACCGGTGTCTGTACCTTCACTTTGGTGTCGTTACCTTCACTTCGGTGTCGGTTCCTGGACTGTTCTTTTTTCGGTACCAATTTCATAATTGTAGTGAACTAGACCTCCGACATCAATCTGTCTCTGAAGACCTTCAGGGGACAGGAACTGTTATTTCATTGATTTGAATCCAGAAATACAAATTATCTCATCAAGAGACTATTTAATTGTATCCTGAATTAATCAATTGAAAGACCACTCTTCTTTTTACATTATCATTACTATTTTACAATATCTTGATAATCAAAAGTGTGTTTAGTTCATACCATTTCTAAATGTTGAAGTGAACCACTCATTTAAATCAACTGTGAAACAGTATTAATGATTTTTAAACCTCATTAGACTTTGATCATACAGTTAAATCTCTATTTACGAAGTAAGTGTGCATTTAGTCTTCTGTCTGAATGAGGAGTAGTGGATGTCGGTCGAAAGTCAGAGACAAGTTATGAGAACGAAGTGCCTTGTTTTCAAAACTCTCAGACAGTAAATAAGAACTAGCTGGCACCTGCTTTGTCTCACTTCTTCAAAATATTTCTCCGTCTGTACTAACCGTTCTTATAACATTCCTGCTGTCTCCTGACTCCTAGTGACCCTCTGACATCACTAAAATTACACCCCTGCTGGTTGTTTCAACCAATCAGGAAGTACCACTTAACAGGAAGTGGATACCCTTTAAAAGTCAACACTTCTTGGAACTATTCAGTCTTCACGAGTCTTAGTTCTCGTCGTCTTCGCAGTCGGCAGTCTTTCCCAGTCTTTCCCAGTCTTTCCCAGTCTTGCTGGAACTTTCAGTCGAAGATGAGACTCAACTAAGTAGCGGATGGATTTGACCATGTGCCAAGGGTCTCTCCATTCCAGCGTAGTCACAGCCTGCCTCGGCTGTGACTCAACCCGAGCAGTAAATGCTCAACTTCTAAGGAAGCTTATTCGGTTGAACTGAGTACTTCGTCACGATTTCTGATGACCCCAGCTACTCTAACCGGAGACGCTGAAAAGGGAGCGTGCCAATGGACCTCTGTTCCGGAGTGGATGCATCCTCTGCTAAGGTAACAAAGTCGTTGCATGTCCTGAAGTGTACCGGAGGACTGAGCTGGATGTCGGAGGAAGGGTGCCATGTTCTAATTCAACACATAACAATTCAACACATCCATCTAAACTTCCTCCTTAAATCTATTCTTCCTCTTTAAACTTCTCTATTTGCCAGTAAATCAAGCTAGATGCCTTCAGAGATGAATCAGTCTCAATCAGTAATGTTCTGTTGTCTTGTCTAGTAAATCGTGCCAAGTTTATTAATCAGAAACAGATCAGCAAATCAATGTGTACATGTTTGATGTTAAATTTTGATTTTGTTAAATAAATGACCGCATTTATTCTGATGGGTCAAAGATAAAATGGCGTCTCATGTCACTGATTAAACACTCCACTCTCATTGTTATCTTGGTCACATGGAAGAAATTTAACTCAAAAAAGACAAGAATCCGTTGTAATTGAACGATTAATATTCTTTGTGCTTGAACTAGCTTTAAGAATAATTAATTAGTAGTGAAGCTAACAGCTACATCACTACATAATTAACATAAATTCTAACGACGAGAAAATTACGTTACACATTACAGTATAAATTTTGAGTTTTATTTTTTAACTTAGGTGTTTTTCCTTTCCAAGCAGTTTTCTTAAATAAAACTAAATAATTCCAGTTCAAAAGACCATTTGCAAACCACTGACATGTCAGTGTCTAATGCTCACTGCTACACACTGAGGACCTTTTCATCCATCCATCCATTTTCTTCCGCTTATCTGGGGTCGGGTCACGGGGGTAACAGCCTAAGTAGGGAGGCCCAGACTTCCCTCTCCCCAGCCACTTGGGCCAGCTCTTCCGGGGGAATCCTGAGGTGTTCCCAGGCCAGCCGAGAAACATATTCCCTCCAGCGTGTCCTGGGTCTTCCTCTGGGCCGCCTCCCCGGTGGGACGTGTCCGGAACACCTCACCAGGGAGGCGTCCAGGAGGCATCCTAAACAGATGCCCAAGCCACCTCAACTGGCTCCCCTTGACGTGGAGAAGATCGAGCTTCTCACCCTATCTCTAAGGGAGAGCCCAGACACCCTGTGGGAAAAACTCATTTCGGCCGCTTGTATCCGAGATCTCATTTTTCGGTCACAACCCAAAGCTCATGACCATAGATGAGGGTAGGAACGTAGATCGATCGGTAAATTGAGAGCTTCACCTTTTGACTCAGCTCTCTCTGCACCACGACAGACCTGTACAGTGCCTACTTCACTGCAGACGCTGCACTTATCCGCCTATCGATCTCACGCTCCATTTTTCCCTCATTCATGAACAAGACCCCAAGATACTTGAACTCCTCCACTTGGGGTAGGACCTCCTCCCTGACCCAGAGAGGGCACTCTACCGTTTTCTGGCCCAAGACCATGGCCTCGTATTTGGAGGAACTGATCTTCATTCTGGCCGCGTCGCACTCTGCATTCGAACCGCTCCAGCGAAAGCTGTAGATCTCGATCTGATGAAGCCAACAGGACCACATCATCTGCAAAAAGCAGAGACGCAATCCTAAGGCCACCAAAACGGATCCCCTCAATACCTTGTCTGTGCCTAGAAATTCAGTCCATAAAAGTTAAGATCTGGACTGCAGGCTGGCCATTTCAGTACCCGGATCCTTCTTCTACATACCATGATTTTGTGATTGCTACAGAATGTGGTCCGGCATTATCGTGTTGAAAAATGCAGGGTCTTCCCTGAAAGAGATGACATCTAGATGGGAGCATATGTTGTTCTAGAACCTGATCATAGTTCTCTGCATTAATGGTGCCTTTCCAGACATGCAAGCTGCCCATGCCAAAAGCGCTCATGCAACCCCATACCATCAGTGATACAGGCTTCTGAACAGAGCATTGATAACAACTTAGGCTATCCTTGTCCTCGCTGGTCCGGATGACGTGGCGTCCCAGTGTTCCATAAAGAACTTCAAATCATGACTCATCTGACCACAGAACAGTCTTCCATTTTGCCACACTCCATT